TGTCAGAACAGTACAAATTCCCCCCCCCCCCCCAAATGTCAGGACAGTACAAATATCCCCCAAATGTCAAGACAGTACAAATCCCCCCAAATGTCAGGACAGTATAAATCCCCCCCCAAATGTCAGGACGGTACAAATCCCCCCCAAATGTCAGGACAGTACAAATCCCCCCAAATGTCAGGACAGTACAAATCCCCCCCAAATGTCAGGACAGTACCCCCCCAAATGTCAGGACAGTACAAATACCCCCCCAAATGTCAGGACAGTACAAATCCCCCCCAAATGTCAGACAGACCCCCAAATGTCAGGACAGTACAAATCCCCCCCAAATGTCAGGACAGTACAAATCCCCCCAAATGTCAGGACAGTATCCCCCAAAAAGTACAGATATCCCCCCAAATGTCAGGACAGTACAATATCCCCCCAAATGTCAGGACAGTACAGATATCCCCCAAATGTCAGGACGGTACAGATATCCCCCAAATGTCAGGACAGTACAGATATCCCCCCAAATGTCAGGACAGATATCCCCCAAATGTCAGGACAGTACAGATATCCCCCAAATGTCAGGACAGTACAGATATCCCCCAAATGTCAGGACGGTACAGATATCCCCCAAATGTCAGAACAGTACAGATATCCCCCAAATGTCAGGACAGGACAGATATCCCCCAAATGTCAGGACAGTACAGATATCCCCCAAATGTCAGGACAGTACAGATATCCCCCAAATGTCAGGACAGTACAGATATCCCCCAAATGTCAGGACGGTACAAATATCCCCCAAATGTCAGGACGGTACAGATATCCCCCAAATGTGAGAACAGTACAGATATCCCCCAAATGTCAGGATGGTACAAATACCCCCAAATGACACATTTGTGGAATGTAGACACCCTGAGGTATTTAGTAAGGAGCATGGCGAGTTTTTTTGAAGTTGTAATTTTGTTTTCCACAATTTTTTTTTTACATTCTGTCAACCAGAGCAGTGCAGCGTCATCATATGGCTGGTGTGGCAGTGATCAGGGGTACTGACTAGTGACACTACTACTCTGGGGAGGTGATCAGGATTTGTTTTACTTGCTTATAATAGGGATGATCACTGGTATAAGCAATCATTTATATGAATGGCATCCATTTGTAGCCCCCTCCTAGTTTAGATAGGGGGCGCTAGATCCTATGGTTAGACAGTGGTGTAGTGTAATAACCAAAGGGGTCAAATTGTGGTCAGGGCTGAGAGGCTCTGCAGGCCAGCCCCTCTGCAATATACCCCTGCTCTGAGGCTTTTGGAGGAAAGCTTTGGAAGCAGTGCAGAGATCTTCAGGTGGCTGCATTCTTGAGGGACTTCAGCCAATCCCCAACAGAAGGCATGGCAAGGGGCTGGGACTCCCTTAAAAGTGTTAGAGGAGTGTGGCGTGGGTTGTGTGAAGAGTTGAGAGGAAGATGTGAGGCTGTGAGGAAGGAGGCTACCAGGAGGCCTAGTGGGATGGAGCCTGCCTGTGAGCCTGGAGCTGGAAAGGAGGAAAACCTGGAACTCGCTGGCCCCCTGAGAGAGGACCACCTGCATAGCAGGGAAGGAGCAGCCCAGCTGATAGGCCTGTTAGCAGCAGCTAGCCCACAAGTGGTACAGGAGAGGATCTGAGTGAGTACACTTGCACCCCCCTGGGCGGAGAGGGGAAGGCGCACTCTGGTGGGAAACCAGATTAGCCTCCTACTAGTGACTGTTCACCTATTTAAAGGGACAGGAGCCAGATCCCCTGCTCAGGAAGACACCTCCACATTACTGGGTCAAGAGGAGTCCATCTAGGGTCTGGGGTGGCACATCATTCAGCTCTCCAATAGAGACTGCTGCAGAGAAGCTTGCGGATAGTTCTAGGAAGTTTGTCCTCAGTTGTTGGTTCCCTTGGGCATCCTATACCCCCCCTTACCCTATCCCAGTTCTAAATCCCCTCAATAAACAACAAAACAAAAGCCCAAGGACTGATTTCTGACTTTTAATGCAAGCTTGTGAGGAGAATGCAGATTGACTGCCTGTGTAGGACTATAGGGGGACCCAAATCAACAGCAACCCTTACGGGGTAGTACTACACATTCATTCACAGCCATTCATTGAGTAGTATTGTGATTAGCTGTGATTGGCAACAGCTATCACATGGTACAGATGGGCTGTGACTAGCCCTGCCTGTACCATGTGATCACTGTGACCAATCACAGAGCTCATCACAAAAGTACACAATAAATGGCTATGACTGAATGCCATTTGAGTCATGTGACCAGTGGTGGATTGAAAACTCATGGGGCCCCCGGGCAATAGGGGATCATGGGGCCCCTGTGTCCTTTCTCAAATTCAAAAAAGCCTATGAAAAAGGTACTGGAGCATCTCATGGGGCCCCCTACTGACCCCGGGCCCTCGGTCAGTGCCTGAGTTTCCAAATGGTCAGTCCGCCCCTGCATGTGACTGCTGTGATTGGTCACTGCGGTCACATTGTAGCGGGACCAATCTGGTATACTGATCTGCCCTGTGGACACAGTAGATGAGAGACCGCCACACAGTGCAGCTGCTAGGCCACACACTGGGCGCATGACTGGGAGGACATCATATGATGTCCTCCTAGATCCAGGGAGCTTCCGCTTCGACTGACATTTGGCAATAGGTCGGGTGGGAAGCGGTTAAAGGAATTGGACATTTTAATTCTCCACTTTAAGCTTTTAAGACATCACTGATCCTTGCCGAATAGATTTTTAAAAAGCGTTTTTTGGATCGGTACATGTTCCCCAGGGCAGGGCCTACCCCATGCTGGTTTTTTACACCCCCTTGCCTGTTACCCCAGAAGTGGACATTTTAAAACATATTCGGCTCCCATTGATTCCAGTGGGGTTCAGGTTTGGCCTCCAAACTTCTTTGAAGTTTGCTGAACCAACCTCAGGGCAGTTGTTCATCAACAACTGTGGGCGTGGCTTTGTCACCAATCTGGGCCTGACGGTCCAGTACCACCAATTCAATGACGGGGGTAACATGCCTCATAAAAGTCAAAGCGGCAAACTCATTTTAACTTTGAGATCAAAATTTACCAGGCAAACGGTAACACCTTCAGATGACTCCAATCTGCTCAACGGGTAACAAATAGTCCTTCCCTGTACTGACTGCCACTGGCTCCCCCTCCCACCACATGGCCATCTGGATCCTATAGAGCGGGTGGCATATGTCCTGCACGTGTAGCCCTGACTGGCTGACTTGATGAATGGCAGATCTCTTGGAATGTACATTCAGAGTGAGGGAGACAATAAATCCACTCCGTCTCTTGATGTATATAGAGCTGTGCAAATCAGTCAGCGCACTTTTTCTTCCGTAATAAAAAACATGCTGCAAGATCGCGCCGTCAGCTCGGCAATCGTCCGGCCTCATGTTATGGGAAACAGACAATGCTATGGAGGAAACACCTGTACGCCGAGGTTGCGTCAATAGAAAAAGGCCTGCTGTAGACACACTTCATTGCATAGGCATTCACCTGATGACATTGCCAAAGTGGAAATGGATTTAACTTTGGCTCTTGGACTTTGACGAATGCGCCATTCCTCCCATCTGGCGAGCACATGAGGCCTGCTCTGCTCCATGCCGGACACTCCTTTGGAGATTAATAAATTATATCTGGAATCAGGCTGTGTTCTGGGACGTGAGGCAGAAAGGAGATGTGGCAGAAGACTTCAAATCCCGAGCTGTCAAGAGCTGATAGTTCTCAGCCGAATCCTTCCGTGACCTTGGATCCTTTGCATGCGTTCGGCAGATCCATCCCCATCCTCAGTTTTTCCTTTATCGCCACTGCCAGGAGGCATCTGCTCCCAATAACGTAGAATCCACCCTAGGCAGAGCACAATGGAGCTTCACCTAGAGGCCATTATGAATTTCAAACCACATTTGGTGGCTTCTTAGGCCAACGTTTCTCAACCGGACGTCCCGGGACTGCTTCGGGTCCAAAGACTATTGGCTATTGGTTATAACCATTGTAAAGAAACATAATATATGAGGGACTTTAAATACGCACCCCAGGAATATATTGACCAGGGGCGGACTGACCATTTGGAAACTCGGGCACTGCCCGAGGGCCCGAGGTCAGTAGGGGGCACCATGAGATACCCCTGGTACCTTTTTCATAGGCTTTTTTGAGTTTGGGCAAGGACACAGGGGCCCCATGATCCCCTATTGCCCGGGGGCCCTATGAGTTGTCAGTCCGCCCCTGCCGTGGTCTCTGCCATGCCTTTCGGACCAGCCAGAGTTTCCTTCTAACTCTTGCTGACTCCTCGCCTGACACTCCTGCTTGCACGTGTAGGCAGGTGTAGTCTGCTGTCTCCACTGCAGGTGGCGCTCATCCCCTATTGCCCGGGGGCCCCAAGAGTTGTCAGTCCGTCCCTGATATTGACTATACAAATGTGAACAGTTTAAAAAAGCGTCTTTATTGTACAAGGTAGGATAATTTCATTCCCAGAATGGACCGTAAGGCCCCCTTCAGATGGGGTGGACCCATCAGTGGATCAGCTTGCTCAGTGGAGGATCTCTCCGCTGATCCCCTCTGAGCAAGCCGATGACAGGTCTGTGTCTGCTTCGCTGATGCAGAGTGGACACAGACAATGCCCCTTGTTCTCTATGGGACGGTCGGATGGAAATGGAATCTGACTGTCATCCGATCCACCAGACGGGTGGGGAACGGATCCCTTCCATCTGTTTTTTTAGCATAAAGGATCGGATTGGATGCCGGCGGATGTCATCCAACACATGTCCACTGGCACCCAGTACTCTATAGAGAGCTATGGATGGTCCAATAGGGTCCTCCTGAAAAATGGACCGTCGGTGTAACACTCTCCTAAAAAATAAAGTTTGCTTACCTATATATTAGCGGCTGTTGTCACCTTCCAGGTAGTCCCCTTGTGAGGCAACACTCTTTTCCAGACGATCGTGCCACTGCCAATCCGTCCACTAACCTCCACTCAGTGTCCTCCACCCTTCTCTGCCAATCCCTCCACTGACCTCCACTCAGTGTCCTCCACCCCTCTCTGCCAATCCCTCTACTGACCTTCACTCAGTGTCCTCCACCTCTCTCTGCCAATCCCTCCACTGACCTTCAATCAGTGTCCTCCACCCCTCTCTGCCAATCCCTCCACTGACCTCCACTCAGTGTCCTCCACCCCTCTCTGCCAATCCCTCCACTGACCTCCACTCAGTGTCCTCCACCCCTCTCTGCCAATCCCTCTACTGACCTTCACTCAGTGTCCTCCACCCCTCTCTACCAATCCCTCCACTGACCTCCACTCAGTGTCCTCCACCCCTCTCTGCCAATCCCTCCACTGACCTTCATTCAGTGTCCTCCACCCCTCTCTGCCAATCCCACCACTGGCCTCCACTCAATGTTCTCCACCTCTCTCTGCCAATCCCTCCACTGGCCTCCACTCAGTGTCCTCCACCCCTCTCTGCCAATCCCTCCACTGGCCTCCACTCACCCAATTAATTAAATTCAGTGGAGTGATTGGCAGAGAGGAGTGGAGGACACTGAGTAGAGGCCAGTGGAGGGATTGGTAGAGAGGGGTGGAGGACACTGAATGAACGTCACTGGAGGGATTGGCAGAGAGGGGTGGAGGACACTGAATGAACGTCACTGGAGGGATTGGCAGAGAGGGATGGAGGACACTGAGTGGAGGTCAGTGGAGGGATTGGCAGAGAAGGGTGGAGGACACTGAGTGGAGGTTAGTGGACGGATTGTTTTGTTGTCCGATGGTTACAACCAGCCTTGGCCTTCCATCTAGCTGCATTCAGCTCCAGGTCTAGTTCTGTAGTCCCCTATAATGATGGCCCCGCCCCCTTTAGATGCCGCCAACTTTAACCACCCAATGTATGTACTAACACATCCGGTTTCAGAGCTGTCATCCTCTGGCTGTTACAGACGGGGAAGCAGCTTACCAAGCGTGATCAGCTGTTTTGGAGGAAAGGGCAGTCGTTAAGGGTCTAATAGACCCCTGATGCCTCCATAAATAGCACCTGCAGGGCTGTCTTAATGCATGGGCACCTCTGGGCACTGGCCAGGGGCCCCAGGTGCATGGAGGTCCCATGATAATCTTGCATTATATCATACTTGCCAACTGTCCTGGATTTGCCAGAACAATCACAATTTTTACTAAGCTGTCCCAGGGTGGCCCTCCTGACTCCCCCTGTACTGTGCCCTCTTGACTCCCCTGTACTGTGCCCTCCTGACTCCTCCTGTACTGTGCCCTCCTGACTCCCCCCCCTCTGTACTGTGCCCTCCTGACTCCCCCCTGTACTGTACCCTCCTGACTCCCCCTGTACTGTGACTCCCCCCCCTGTACTCCTCCTGACTCCCCCTGTACTGTGCCCTCCTGACTCCCCCCCTGTACTGTGCCCTCCTGCCTCCCCTTGTACTGTGCCCTCCTGACTCCCCCCTGTACTGTACCCTCCTGACTCCCCCCTGTACTGTGCCCTCCTGACTCCCCCCCTGTACTGTACCCTCCTGACTCCCCTGTACTGTGCCCTCCTGACTCCCCCTGTACTGTGCCCTCCTGACTCCCCCTGTACTGTGCCCTCCTGACTCCCCTTGTACTGTGCCCTCCTGACTCCCCCCTGTACTGTACCCTCCTGACTCCCCCTGTACTGTGCCCTCCTGACTCCCCCTGTACTGTGCCCTCCTGACTCCCCTGTACTGTGCCTGACTCTTCTGACTACCCCCTGTACTGTGCCCTCCTGACTCCCCCTGTACTGTGCCCTCCTGACTCCCCTGTACTGTGCCCTCCTGACTCCCCCCTGTACTGTGCCCTCCTGACTCCCCCTGTACTGTGCCCTCCTGACTCCCCTGTACTGTGCCCTCCTGACTCCCCTGTACTGTGCCCTCCTGACTCCCCCTGTACTGTGCCCTCCTGACTCCCCTGTACTGTGCCCTCCTGACTCCCCTGTACTGTGCCCTCCTGACTCCCCTGTACTGTACCCTCCTGACTCCCCCTGTACTGTGCCCTCCTGACTCCCCCCCCTGTACTGTGCCCTCCTGACTCCCCTGTACTGTGCCCTCCTGACTCCCCCCTGTACTGTGCCCTCCTGACTCCCCCTGTACTGTGCCCTCCTGACTCCCCCTGTACTGTGCCCTCCTGACTCCCCTGTACTGTGCCCTCCTGACTCCCCCTGTACTGCCCTCCTGACTCTCCCTGTACTGTGCCCTCCTGACTCCCCCTGTACTGTGCCCTCCTGACTCTCCCCTGTACTGTGCCCTCCTGACTCCCCCTGTACTGTGCCCTCCTGACTCCCCTGTACTGTGCCCTCCTGACTCCCCCTGTACTGTGCCCTCCTGACTCCCCCTGTACTGTGCCCTCCTGACTCCCCCTGTACTGTGCCCTCCTGACTCCCCCTGTACTGTGCCCTCCTGACTCCCCCCTGTACTGTGCCCTCCTGACTCCCCCTGTACTGTGCCCTCCTGACTCCCCCCCTGTACTGTGCCCTCCTGACTCCCCTGTACTGTGCCCTCCTGACTCCCCCTGTACTGTGCCCTCCTGACTCCCCCCATACTGTGCCCTCCTGACTCCCCCTGTACTGTGCCCTCCTGACTCCCCCTGTACTGTGCCCTCCTGACTCCCCCTGTACTCCTGACTCCCCCTGTACCCCTGTACTGTGCCCTCCTGACTCCTCCTGTACTGTGCCCTCCTGACTCCCCCTGTACTGTGCCCTCCTGACTCCTCCTGTACTGTGCCCTCCTGACTCCCCCTGTACTGTGCCCTCCTGACTCCCCCTGTACTGTGCCCTCCTGACTCCCCCTGTACTGTGCCCTCCTGACTCCCCCTGTACTCCTGACTCCCCCTGTACTGTGCCCTCCTGTCCCGCCTGTACTGTGCCCTCCTGACTCCCCCCCCTGTACTGTGCCCTCCTGACTCCCCTCTGTACTGAGCCCTCCTGCCCCCCGTACTGTGCCCTCCTGACCCCCCTGTACTGAGCCCTCCTGCCCCCCCCCCCCCCCCCGGGTACTGTGCCCTCCTGACTCGCCCCCCCCCCCCCCCCCCCCGTACTTTGCACCTCCTGTCCCCCCTGTACTGTGCTCCTCCTGTCCCCCCCTGTACTGTGCCCTCCTGACTCCCCCCCCTGTACTGTGCTCCTCCTGTCCCCCCTGTACTGTGCCCTCCTGACTGTGATTGGTCACAGCTTGTCACATGGTAAAAGGCTGTTGTGAATGGCCCTGTACCATGTAACCTCGGTGATCATTCACAGATTTCACCCGTACTAAGCAATGATGTCAGCAGTGACATCTTGCTTACTACTCTGCTTGTGATCACTGATTGGCCAATCAGTGATCACATGATCGAGACCTCGTACAGAGGTCCCGTACATCGAACGGTTTTCAAAATGGCAGACGCCGTTTATGAACGGCAACCTGCCCCTGCACTGCCACCATCCGATGTTTCTATACATGGGCCGGGAAGTGGTTAGGGAGTGCTGGAGTCCCCTTGGTGTACCTCCTCAGATCCCAGATGATTCCTCCTCTTCACCTGGCTGCACTGAGGGTAACTCTGGCCAAGGGATTCCAAGATCGAGCAGTTAAGTAGTCCAGGATGAGGACTAGTTGGGTCTTGCACCTGACTGCCCTCTCCCCTTATCTGGCCCAGGGGGTGTAGGAGTCCTCACACTGTCCTGTCCTGTCAGCGTGGTGGGGTTGGTGGCTGCTTTCAGGCCTTTTGCTGGGCTGGCTCCCTCCCTGCTGCACAGAATGTCCTCCCTAAGAGACTTGGCACAGTGGAGGTCCTCCTTTCCAGAATCCTGCCTGTAGATAGGCCCCCTCCCTGGGGCCTCCTCCCAGACTCCAACCTTCTCTCAATCCATCTTCCACCCGACTCTCCTGCTGCTCAGACTCTTCCATATCTAAGGGTTGTCCTTGGTCACCATGCCCGGCCTCCTGCCTAAGGATTGGTCAAGTTCCCTTAAACATGCAGATCTGGGCCTCCTCCCGTCCTTCACCCTCCTTCGCCTCTCTTCCAGAAAGCTCTCTGAGTTTCTGGAAGGGTGGGAGGGCTACAGAAGCCCTGACATGTACAGCCTCCCAGCCTGTCCTGAGGTGCCTCACATAGAGGAGATATAGTATGTTTTATATTTGTAAGATGGGTTCTCTCTAATGAGACATCAGGGGTCTAACTTGATTTTTTCTACATTTTGTTTCTTTTACCTTCACTAAACTTTTTTTCCTTCACATATGGGATAAAAAGTTCCCAATGTGATGCCTTCACTAAATCTTTATTTATATCACATAGAGGAGATACAGTATGTTATATATTTGTAAGACGGGTTCTCTTTAATGAGACATCAGGGGGTCTATCTTGATTTTTTCTTTTACCTTCACTAAATCTTTATTTATATCACATAGAGGATATATTTGTAAGACAGGTTCTCTTTAATGAGGCATGAGACATCAGGGGTCTAACTTTATTTTTTTTTCTTTTGAAATTACTAGAACTTTATTTATATCACATAGAGGATAATTTTGATGTATTTTTTGTAAAACAGGTGTTACTATGTACTATGGTACAATGTTACCATGGTAACATTGTACTACTTTGGTCATAGTGAAATATGAAAAACAAATCTTAAAAAAAAATAAATATATTTAATAAAAAATAATAAAAAAAATAAAAAAAATATATATATATGTTTTTTTTTCATACTGTCACCAGTCAGTGTCCCTGATCACCGCCATGCCAGTTATATGATGACGCTGTACTGCACTGGTGACAGGATGTACAAAAAAAATTGTGAAACTAATTTTTTTCATTTTTTTTCATTTTCCGAAAAATTATGACAAAAAAAATACAACTTCAAAAAACTCGCCATTCCTCTTATGAAGTACGTTGGACTGTCTACTCTGCAAAAAGGGGTCATTTGGGGGATATCTGTACTGTCCTGACATTTGGGGGATATCTGTACTGTCCTGACATTTGGGGGATATCTGTACTGTTCTGACATTTGGGGGATATCTGTACCGTCCTGACATTTGGGGGATATCTGTACTGTCCTGACATTTGGGGGATATCTGTACTGTCCTGACATTTGGGGGATATCTGTACTGTCCTGACATTTGGGGGATATCTGTACTGTCTGACATTTGGGGGATATCTGTACTGTCCTGACATTTGGGGGATATCTGTACCGTCCTGACATTTGGGGGATATCTGTACCGTCCTGACATTTGGGGGATATCTGTACCGTCCTGACATTTGGGGGATATCTGTACTGTCCTGACATTTTGGGGGATCTGTACTGTCCTGACATTTGGGGGATATCTGTACTGTTCTGACATTTGGGGGATATCTGTACTGTCCTGACATTTGGGGGATATCTGTACCTTTCTGACATTTGGGGGGTATCTGTACCGTTCTGACATTTGGGGGATCTGTCCTGCTCTGACATTAGGGGGA